CCTCTTGGGCAACCATCAGTGTACACGCCGTCGGGTAAGTAGTATTCGGAGTTATCCATCGAGTTAGCAGACACGGCGGCGGATCCTAATTAGATGGAATAATTCATAAATTGTGTAGTGGAGGACATGGAAAGAACTATTGCAGTGCAATAGACGATGCCTTTGGGGCAGATGTCTTCGGGTACAATCGATTTAGACTGTGGCAAAGGGCCTTTGGCCAAAGAACCCAAGTCGGTCAGACTCAGTGCAACGGACATGTTGGGCGAGCGAGTGATTTCATTGCTCATATATTTGGATGGGAAGATGGCGATGTACGCTAAGCCAGTAATAGCAGGATACTACGTAGAATTAGTGCGTAGCAGGATGCGGGCGAAGGTGGCAACATTTGTGGAGGTAGCAGAAAGAGTGGCGAGCTTGACCTCTGAATGCGCGACCGTGAAGGCTACCTTGCAGAAGCGGGAGAAGCAACTTTGGCAATCGGAATTAGAGGGTGCCGAACTTTGGAGAAGTTTAGTAGCGGAGAAGTATCTTCATACGAAGGCAAAGCTTGAGTACGTGGGTCTTCGGGTCTACCTCAACAATGCTAAGAAGGTGACGGTGGAGCTTTGGGACAAGGTGGAAGTGTTTTGAAAGTGTGTCAGTTATTGTGTTAGTTGTAAACAACACAATAATTGACTATTGATGTAATTGTAAACATCACGTAAACGGTTTGTGTGATTGTTGGATATATAAGTCATATAATTAATCCATTATCATTGAAATAGACAATAGAGCAAGGAGAAAATTTATGCTTGTACATGTGGAAAAAATCTATATAGAAAAATAGAACAGTTCTAGATTTCTCTCATCTTTGGAGTTTGTGTTTCATCTTTAAGAAATGCTTTTTCTTAATTTGGATGTTAGATTTGCATCTAATATTGCAATTATAAAAAAAATCATTGTAAGATGAATTGACAATATCTAATACTTTTGTTTTTAGATATCTGAACTTAACCTAAATTTTAACATAATTTCTAATATGTTTTTTTATCTATATATTTATCTATTTAAATAAAATGTATAAAAATGAAAATTGAAAATGACTTGAAAATTATACTTTTTTTTTCTTAAATTTATCTCAAAGTTATGTGATTCTTCATGAAAATTGTACACTAATCTCACATGTGACTTTTAGAATACTAAAATGAATTGTTACAACATGGTCATGTCATATATTCTTCAAATTTTGATATTTGTATTATTTACATTCAAATTGAAGACATTTTCATCTAGACAATTACACAATATTCCATATGAACTTATTTTTCACTCTTCATTCTCTGAAGTCTTATAAAGAATAATAAGAATCATTGTTTTTTATTTATCTACTGTCAAACTATTCTTGATAAGTTTTCTTGTAGTATTAGTGCTACATTTCACATTCTTCTTCTATGTGCTGCATCATAAAATTGAAAGTATAACCGTACAAGGAATACTACCAATTCCAAATTGGAAGTAGGTTATGGATCTCCATTGTACTTTTCACAAAGCTACCTTGACATATGCTAGACATGATTTTCTTAAATTTATTGACATATATATATATATATATATATATATATATATATTTATTGTATATGACTATATTCTGCTTTCTATATTCCTCAAAGCTACAAGACCTTTCATATCCATACTTTAGTAGTTCAAGACAAAATCTGCTTGATTAATAGCCAAATTCAAATAAATAGTAGTACATGGATCTTCAACATGATTATGTAGCTACTTTGTATTATTCACAAAGCTATTTTGCATTATGTTAGAACTAATTCTCTTAATTTAAAATCATAAACATCATTTCTGCTTTTTGTATTGTTTTTCAAATTATACTTCAATACATATGGATTATATTACAAATCCATCCAACATTTTGTGCAGAATTTTATAAACTTAAAGAAAATATGTATTGATGAAAATTAAAGATTTTTTTGACACATCTCATTTGTTATCATAATAAAAACATATTATATATATGAATGGATTCACTATCGGAACATAAAATTTGCATACAAATTGATCACAGAGAAATTTCTAAGAATGACAAATGAATCAGATTTTAAAACTATTGGGTGTGTTTACTTCATGCTCATCACATGATTTGTACGCTTCTTTGAAAGGGAGGGCAAAAAAAATATTCTGATTTTGATATCGTTATTGCACAGAACATGTCATGAAGAAAATTTTGTAATACTTGAAAATTAATCTCAATGATTTCACTTTTGCCATATATGTATATAGTGTTCAACTATATGAAGTAGAAGACATTGTAGGTGATGTCATGTATGATGACCATCAATCCAAATCCTTAAAAAGCAGTGATGATATGTTACTCAATTTTACACACAATAGAAACTCAAGTAATAAACACAAGTATTATAACAGTTAATCTAGTTGTCAGTTATAGTTGGAAATATAATTCATTCAAGAAAATCTATGTTCACATTATGCAAGTTCTACTTTATTTTCTCTTGTTATACATCTATTGCATGTCACAAAAAACTGAAGTTGATATTCTTGTACTTGTATTACAATTCTAAAATTCTTTGTTTTGAAGAGTCTTATTCATGCACGAGACTTCTATCCTCAGGAAATGGTCTATTGCATGTCACAAAGAACTGAAGTTGAAATTCTTGTCCTTGTATTGAAGTTCTAAAAAATCTTTGTTTTGAAGATTCTTATTCATGCACAAGACTTCTATCCTCAGGAAATGGTCCATTCATGATCGACTCCAAAAAATTTGACAACGATTATCAGTGGTTGAACCTTGAGATTTAACGCAACTGCTAAAGAATACAATTTAAGATATTTCTAGTGTATTCTTTAGTATACAACCTAGACGTTCACGATCTCAATTAACGAAATAAGGAACTTATGATTATATCCAGGATATGGGAGGTCAAAGCTTAATATAGAGCTAAACGTTCCTACTCAAGAGAGTAGTTTCACTCATCGCCTAAATTGGGGCATATCTTATAACATATATGAAGCAAAATTCTGCATGTCACTCACTCTCACATAAAAGCTCGTCCACGATTGTGGGTCTCCCATCCAAGCTTACGGGGCTTAACCGCTGCGGGCGATAGAAGAGGGTAACGATACGTATCAATGGGTGTTCCTACAACTCACTTTCTCATGAGCACTACCCTGTGCCACATGGTGATTCTAATCATTAGAGTCATTAGAGTCTAAAGACTATGAACGGATAACCATAAAACCCTTCTAATCCACAGGGTTTCAATCTTCAGACTCGACCAAAGAGCACAGAGTTGAGCCAAGCGATTTAGCGGTTCACAGTAATGGCCTCCAAGACTTGCAGTTCTTTGCATAAAGGTGGAAATTCAAATCAAAGCTTGCTCATGAATAATCGATGCGTTATTTCCGGATGGTTGTGTTATATTTAATTTAATAGTCACCAGACCTTGGATGAAAGCTGTTTTGCTTGTGAAATGATGAACTGTACACCACTCAAAGGACTCATTTATATACAAAAAAAAACCTTTACAATTGTCAACAATAATGGTAAGCAAACTGACCCATAGCTATCAAGTAGAACCACACATCTCGATGCCTCTGTAGAAAGCTCGGGTTTACTGGTACTGTACCGCATAACTGGAAGAAGAGTAAATAATACATTCTTCATTGTGTGCAGCACTCGGTGCACACAACATCCCACCATCACACTAGAACGACTGCTCTAGCTTATAACGGTTCTTTTCAAGGTGTAACGAAATGTACTTCTTCAGGAACTCTTGTTCGCTCATTTTCATGATAGGGAGCATACAAGGCTTTGGTAATTTCACCGTTGGGCTACTTCTTGTTTCTGCTATACCTTGTACTCTACCTGTAAACTCGATGGGGCCTACCTTGCTTGTCTGTAAAGAATATCAGGTACGCCCGAGCCCAGAAATAGTTTGTGCAGGAGCCTGATACTCATACCTACGAGAAATAGCATATCTGCATAGCCTGGGAAAATTCTATGAATTTGCTTTAACGATCCAGATGTTTTTACTGCTTTTTTAAGGCTCAACTGTGTCGGATTTTCAAACTCCAGCCCAACGTTTGCCTCCCACAAGTAATCAAGATAACCGAAGGGATCGTTGACTTCCAAACCGTTCCTTACAGCATACTTTCACACGAAGTTACACCGCCGTCGTGGGCTCACAAACAGGGACGACGTGGATTTACTTCTTGCTTGACTTAACCTCGAAATACTCCATGTGCATGCCTGTAACTCATCACGTGCATTACGACTTCGAGATCTCTGATTGGTTCAATGATTTGAAATCTTTTCTCTGATATGAAATCAACAGCTTCCAGACCTGGTCAATACGACGGCAAGTTCCTCAGACAAACTTCATACGACACAAGCTCATTACTTCAAGTAGTTTTTTGGTGGTGATTGAGGACGATTATTACTTCTCGATCTTCAGAACACAAAAACCAAATTGAAAGTACCTTGAAAAGAGCAGTCTTCGCTACGTTAGTTGTGTACAGCAAACTCAATTACTTCAATCCCCAACAAGGTAACATTAGCCAGAACTTGAATCATACTTAATAATTTCCACTCTCCAACTAGGATACCGAGGGGACAGGTAGGTTTGGAACGCTATGTTAATTCCTGTAGGCCGCGGACGCGTAGAAATATTTCTATCACCAATATCACATGTGCACCCAGCTATAAACCTAGCATCGCTGACACAATGAAGACAGTAACACGGCTATAACAAGGTCCAGTAACGACGTTCCGATCAAATAAGCAAGAAAATGCAAACAAGACATCGCAACAATCTCAATTGCTCAAAAAAAGTGGTAGTAACTACATGCTCTTCTCCTTGAAACTCATGCCCTTGTGCAGTATGCAAGACAAGAATCCCTAACAGAACTAGACGTCAGGTTCGGGAAGAAGCGGAGCTGAACAAATTAACAAGACAGACTAGAGGACTTCAAAGGCCGAAGCTGTTAAAAACTGGAAAAGGGGAAACAAACTGGGAAAAAAATTACTTAAAGAAAGTCTCAACGTGTACTTCCTCTGCGCTTAGAACGGCGCTGAGATGTTCTAGTTGCTCCCTTAGTGGCCCTCTTCCCAGACCCCTTAGAACCTCCTCTGTTTTTAACACCCACTGACGCTTGACCCTGTGCTGCCTCTTGTTGAGCATGGGCCTCAGCATTAGCTAGTAGACGACTACTTGCCCTTCGCTTTCTAAGCTGCCTTGGAAGGGTTTCTTGTACCTCCACTACAGCGACCGGTGGTTCTTCCTGTTCTTGCGTTGACAAACTCTCCTCTTCGATTTCCTTCAACTTGCCGTTGCTTCCAATCCTATGTTCAGGTTCCGAAACTACGGCACTGGGAGATTCTTCAGTCACGTCGATGCATTGCACGTCGTCTGACAGTTGTCTGACATCAGGTGAAGATGAACTGGGCAGCCTAACTTCATCATCTTCAGGTGCCATACTCAAGCTTACATCATCGACGGCATCTCCTACTGTCTTCTCGATCTGAGGCCTCTCTTCATTTGAATTGTCAATGAAGATCCAAGCCTCTGTTTCTCTTTCAACCACTTCTACCATAGGAGTATGCACAGTGTCCACACTCTCCCCAAGGACAGAGGTGTCTCCCGCTGCTTCACTGACAACTTCAGAACTTAAAGCTTCCGGTGAGAGCTCATTCCTGGTCTCGTCCAATAATTTTTCATCACAGACTTCTTCCATGACACTGTTTGCAATACCAGCTTCAGATAACAGCACGACTTCCAGTTCGACTCTCTCTTGATCTCCAACAACCTTTTCCTCCTCTACTAAATCAGCATCCTCATCTGCGTTAACATGATCACCGTACTCGACAGCGTCATCATTTCCTTCAACAAGACTATTTACATTCTCTAAAGAACCTGTTTGCGGGTAAACCCCATCATCGTGGTCGGCGTGGCAAGTAGCATCTTCCTCGGTAGGCGAAGTTCTGGCCTCAATTGACGTATCTTCGGCTTCGTTCAGAAGCACCTCAGGGTTCTGTAGCACGAGTTCTTTATCATTAGCAACGTCGTTCATTTCGGCCAAGTCATCCGCTTCTTCTTCGTGCAGAGAAACATCGTTCATTTCGGCCAAGTCAACCGCTTCTTCTTCGTGCAGAGAAACATCACTCTCAGCAGAAGCCTCAGCTGTGGGCGTATCATCTTGCTGAACAGAACCTCTTTGTGGAGAAAGATTGCTCACAGACCGAGCCTCCTCGACAATCTCAACCTCCTGGAACTCCTCTAGCACCGAAGGGACCTTGCTCTCAACCGTGAACTGGACGGAAACTAAAGTTTCGTTCTGCACATCTTCTGATTCTAGAGAGGTATTTCCATCACCTCGAGCCTCTTCAGCATCAACGGCATGTCCCTGCTGAACCCCCGCAGTTCCCAGAACTACAGAGCTTCCAGTCTCCGGAACAGTCTCAGTTTCTGAAGGAGCATTGTTACCATCCCAAGATTCTCCACTGCTTGTAACTCTCAGTGACACCTCTCCTTCTGCACAGACGTTTCCGCCTAGAATCTCTTCAACACCTGCATTTTCGAACTCAGCCTCCTCCACTTCCATGCACATAGTATTTTGAAGGCGGCTTACGTCGGCAACTGATGCTGTCGGCTGAGACTCGTCCACTTCCATTGGCTCACTGTTTTGACAACGAATTTCCTTACCAACCGCAACTCCCTGCTGAACATCTTCCATAGCATCTTCCATGTCGGCTTCGAACTCCCTATCACTATACTCAGCAACCTCCACATAGGAGGGCAGGAATTCCCCGTCCATAGCATCAGCTCCCCTATCTGCAGATTCCGCAACCACAGAATCATCGACACGGTACACGGCAGCTACATCTCCGTCGTTATAATTAGCTGACGGATGTTTCCGGAGGTCAGGAAGAGGATCCATGAGTCCCTGTGTGTCCTCAACTACTGCAACCTCGTTGTCAGAATGTTCAATATGTGCAACTAATGCTGAAATGCTACCTCTGCGATCTACTACCTCATCCACGCTGGCCACCGACAAATCTGCACCTGTTTCTGTATCTATTACATCTACGTCCTGCTGGGGGACAACAGGAGCATTAATATCATCCTGCTGCTGAGAATAAAGAGTCCCAACAGCGAGGTCTTGATCCTGAGATGCAACTAAGAAATCATTCCGGAGCTCCATCTTGATTGAGGGCAGCTTGACAGTGGCAGGATCAAAAGGAAGAATGAAAGAGCCCACTTTGGACCTTTGCAGCTTATTCTCCCACTCTGGTTTTCTATACACTCTCATCGCAGCCTGTTTGCGTGAAGACATGACATTAACAAGATTAAATTAGAGAGGAGGCGACGGCAGTATATTTACAGAGTTTCCAACTATGCTGAACTTGTACGTCTCGTTAAAAATTAGAAACTTCGAAAATAACATAAGCTATACCCGATTCCGCTTCTCCGAGCAAAAACATAGAACAAAAACGCTCTGGTATTGAACAGACTCGCGTGGTTCCCATGCTTGAAGCCGTTCCCAGATACGTATACTACTGCAAAGATAAATTACATGAAGTGATACAATACAAGAAAATGGTTTATACAAACCTCGAAGACACCTTCCGGAAGGGGAGGTAATAGCTTCGGAAGGAGTTTCGGGGCCGAGATTAGAGCTTCACCTTCAAGGTCCACCTAAGGAAAACAACATCATCAAATTTCAACAATCTCAATTTTCTCCCCTCCAGCCTAGTCATAGAGGTGGAATTCTTGCGCTTAGCAGAATGGAAAAGACTGGAGACTGAAGTTAACAGGGCATGTTGTTTGATACAGACTTTCGATTCATGAACATATGATGACAGTGATCTAAAGTATCCACTCGAAACCAAGACTTCAGACAACGACGGCGTACAAAAATATGAAACCTACTTCCAAGTTCAGGTCGTCATCTGCAGACTCAGAATCTGTGTCTTCTTCTTCAACTCCATGCGCCTGTTTTTCAGAATCTGAGGCAGGAAGTAGAGCCTTGTACTTATTGTAGAGGTCTGCACCTGCAAGTTCAGGTGATATGTGCAATTGACTAAGAACAGATTGCATCGCGGCAGTTGCATGTTTGTTACGCTTTCCTTCATTCAAGACCTGTGTTTTACCCATTGACTTTGCTGTCTTCAACTTTGGGACTACACCATCAGGCTTTCGCTTTGATTCTTGGATGTCATATGGTGGTCTTTCAGGTCGAGGTTTGAGATCATTGAGAACTTGAGGTTCTCGAGGCATACCCCACCCGCTACCGCCAGGAGGAAAAGCTGAACTTTGAAGTGGAGGTTCCATTTGTGACCGGAGTGGCATAAAGTCAGAAGCCCCTTCTCGGACACGTCCCTCCCAAAGCTCCCTCTCTCTTTCTCGCTCCCAAACCCGGACCCCCATAGGTCCACCCCTATCCCATTCCATACGACCATGTCTATGCCTGTCATCTCCATGAGGACCAGGGCCCTCCCATCCATCACCAGGTCCCATTAGAGGAGGACCTCTACCATCATCGCCTTCTCCAGGTCCATGCCAGCCAGCTCCACGACCGGGACCGAGGAATCCATCCCCATTTTCACCCATGTGACCCCCAGGACCAATAAATCTACCTCCAAAACCCATATCCATGGGCGGCCGGCCCCCACCACCAGGAAAAATTGGAGGACCAGGAAACTGCTGGCCCATACCGGGGAAACCACCCCCACCCGGCGAAGGATGTGGCGCAAACTGTGGAGGAAAAGGTGGAAACGCATTTCCGGGCAATGGGCCTTGATTTCTGGAGTTCCAGTTTCCAATATTTACACCCCTCCAAGCGTCACCAGGACCTATACCGCCTCCACCACCTTCTCTGCGCAAAGGACCACCTTTCCTGTCCCCTCTTCCTTGATCTCTGGAGCAGGTACCATCATCAAAACCACCATTCGGTGGCCCGAGAACCGCAGGGTTGTCGATGCCTGGCCTGAACGGTGGAGGTGGTGGTAATGGTGCCAAAGGAGGCGCTGGCAGTGAGGCTAGTTGTGGCCTGATCATAGGACTACCTGGTGGCCTGTTCAAAGGCATTCGCCGCCCTCGTTCATTCCTGTCTCTCGGAGACAATTCTTCTGGAATGTGATGATCCAACTGCCCACCTTCATAGGATGTAGAACCACCTTGAGTTGAACTCCGCCATCGTTCTCGATCCCCGCGGCCAACCATAGGAACCCTTGAAAAGGTGTCTTGCCCGTGCAACGGCGGCTTCACCAGGACTCCGTGCATATGCTGATCGCGAAGTCTATGAGGACTCAAGGAACCCTCTCTAGCTTCATCCATGCTGCGATTACTCCGGTGCATTCCACTCTTAACCTCTTCTTCTGCACCAGAGACCCATTTCATCCTATCTCGACGATCACTCACGTGCAAGCTCGCACCTGGGGGTCGTCTTTGAGTACCACTGGAGCTGCTTACACTATTACTAGGTTCAAACCAATCTCCGTGTCCTGTCTTCCCTCGTGGTGGACCACAAGCAACATCCAGATGAGGAGGTGAAGGTGACCTCTGAGAAGTGTATCTTGGTGATCTCCTGTCATCTAGCCTGGGAGGGGAGGGGTAATCCAAGCGGTTGGAAGAAGGTGAAGCCCTGGTGTCTTGACGGGGCGAAGGTTGACCTTCACGAAGCAGTTCAGAAGCACTCCCTTCACTGCGCCAATGATTTGCTTTCACCTTCCCTCGCATGCTGTCACTGTCTCTAGGAGAAGCCCGCAGCCGTTCAGGTCGAATATCTCCATCTCGTTCATCTCTACCGCGCCTGGGTCTATCATCATGGGTTAAGTCATTGGCGGCAGGTGTATCTGGGTCTCCGGAGCGTCCTCCCTGTCTGGAAAAGCAAGTTCACAGATTGATTTTCAATTGCTTACAGTAAACCATGAACTTCTGTAAACTACAAGTGTAAAAGAAATAAAGCAAGAAAAGCATTCCCTACTTGCAAATCCTTTGAACCAAGGGCACATACTGGCAGTGACGTCACCAACCCAGCGCAATTCAAAGGGATAACATGGCCGTTTAGAATGCTTTCTACTAATATAATCCATATCTGGTCGAAAAGATCATCTGGATGCTCTAGGATAGTGAAAAACGTCAGGTACAGACAGCTAAGCTATCGACTAAGTTCCTTGGAATATTCGGCTGAGATAACTAGTACCGAAGAAAACGGAGAACTCAGAAAATAGCACATGAGCAACCGCAAGGGCTTCACATGCGAAGGAAAGTACGCGGATAGAGAAACATTTTACAAATCCTGAAAACAGATAACCAGAACCGAATAATGAAGGACTAAATCGAAGAGACAGCAGAATGGCAGCAGCGACGAACAAGAATGCAAAGCAAGCCGGGCATGCAAGCCGCAACAACATGCGAGCCGGGCTTAGATCGAGAAGAGCTTGAGCCCTCATATCCAGAACTTCCACAACGTATTTAGCATGAGGGAGAGGCATATCAAGTTGAGCATATGCAAATACATATCATAATTATGTAATGGAACTTACACATACTCAGGATTTCATGTACGAATTTTCATTTCAAATTTTCTATGCACTCTGGAAAGTGAGCTTGGTGATAAGATTGAATTCCAAGGCTTTCTGCCAAGAAGTCGTAGTTGACTTATGCGGCTCATATCACTTCGTTACATTCAAATTACTGTCACGTTCTTGCCTTGGCCCACGATGTCAACAAAATCGAAGAAAAGTAGTGATATAAGGGGGAGAATCACAGATGGGAAGCTAACAACAAATCGCTTCTTTTCTGCATTCTTTATAGCACGAACGGTAAGAACATGGTGTATGGACGATCAGCACAGAGCTCCCATGCTCTTAAACCAGTCAGATTGACTAAGATAAGAGTTACTGCTTCTTCTTGTTAGGTCAACATCGTCCCCTCGGTTGCAGACTTCATAACAAAAAACAGAACTAGTAGGTCCTTCGACTCTGATACTTAAGTGCATGGGTCACGGCCAAATACCTGGAAGTTTCTCTTTCCGCCAAAGTTCCTTCGCCTGTCTCGCCTTCACGGGCCCTTTTGGGCCTATGTTCACTTCTTCCATCAATAGACTCGCCGAACGGAGTCGTTGCGTGAGATCTTTCTCGATCAGATGGATCGTCTTTGTAGCCCTTCTCACGAACTCGGCGTTCCACTTCGTAGCTAGAGACCTTATCACGCCCCTTCCTATCCCGATGTTCTTGATCTCGGGGGCGATCACCTCGGCCATGATCGTCGACATCCTTTGAGCGTACAACATGCTGACGTTCCTCTCGGTGAGATCTGTATTCACGATCACTTTCGTAATGTCTCTCGTCTCTCAGCTTACCTTCCGATGGCCTGCTTCCTTCTCTGTGCTGCCGACTCTCGTGTCTGTCACTATGCCTCTCCCTTTCTCTTCTAGAATAATCTTCTCTATGTCTCTCTTCCCTTGTGCGCTCCTCTCGTGGATCCGAGTGACGTTTCGCATCTCGTTCACGGTCATCGTCTCTCCACCTATCTCTATCACCTGATTCTTCCCTTCGACGTCGTATACGATTTTCCAGCTCTTTCTCCAACTCGACATTACGAAGGTCCTCCTGGATCTTCCACTCTGAACATTTGCAAGTATAAGTTTTAGTTTCTGCGCCTCAAGCAAGAGATAGATTTCACAAAAATATATCTCGAGTCAAAAAGGTAGGAAGAAGATTATCTCCAGATGAGTGTGAAGAAACTCTGAAACTCTTGAAAGCTTTGGACAATCTGAGAAAAACGAATTTTGACAAACTGAAAAGATGCGGATATTGCTGAGTGGATCAAATACATAACAAACACTTTACTCCCACGAGCAACTGAAATCAGCTCACGATCTAGTGTTTTCAATTCGGACTAATCCAGAAACCAATCATGTCAATATCTGTGTTGAGCCAATACTTGATTCCCAACTCACAGGTATTTCATTTACTTATCAAAAAGAGCGCGAAATTTTGGAAGGAGCACTATGAAGGCAAAGACTAAGTTCAGACCAAAGTTACAGCCAAGTACGCAATGTAAGGAATAAGGACGAGAACCATGTACAGGCATAAACATAATAAGGTAAACAAAATCAAGCTGCCGCAAAAAGAGATGTGCTAGCCAAGAAGGCAGTGTCAATGTAAGGTCAATGAAATATCAGCCAGTACGAGGCATAACAGCAGATCAAATGCAGAAACCACTACCTGCATGAGGACGAAACCCCAGAACACAAATTTCCACCTAAAGCACTTAAAAATAAAATGTTGTTGAAAGTCAACGTTCGAGGCAGCAACTGGCCAAAAAATGGAGGAATTTCCAGTGCTTTATAGTATGATCTCACTAATGAAGCAAGATCCTCAGCCTGGTTAAAAGTTACGTTTGTGAAGGTTCTATCTATACACACATGAACCCGAACAAGGATTGATAGAAGATTATTGACGTGACCTAGCTTAGCAACCTCAAATTCAATCTCTTTGTTTGGTAGCGAAACCCTCTTTTCGTACTAAAGATAATTTACATTCCTACAGGTTATGGAGTGCAGCTCGCAAAACCTAAACGTCCATGAACGTTCAGGTTCATGCGCCTTAGCAGACAGACTAGCGTATGAAGATCTCCTAATTTTGGTTGGAAGACTCAACCCTACCAAAAAATACTTAGCACTTACGTTTGCACGGGCTTTAACGAGAAAAAGGGAAAATCAATCGCGAACAATAACTCGTATTCCACCTTCTATATGTGAACTGAACGAAACTAACGATAGGCCCTGAACAAGAGAGACCGTGGTTACTGGACATCCGGTTGTGCAATGTCTCGAGATACTATAGTCAAATCCCTACGCTGGAACAATGCAATAATGTACTGAGCTTCACTACAGTACAGTTCGTGTGGAGAAATCAAAAGTACCGAATGTTAGTCCCCGAGATATGTCATATGTATGGCTCATTTTTCTGTACGAAAAATATTTCAGACTGTATATCCTTGTCATAGGCTGAATACCATCGGCCAGCGCCCACAGATCTGCGGTGCTTACGAGAATGAAAATACACATGTATTCAGCACGAGTGATGCAACCTAGATTGATCCACCTAGCAACACGAATGTAACAGTAGCTCGATACTGATTTGAAAAAAAACTACTCCCTCAGGCTCACAAAGTCGGTCCTGAGAAGTATGCATACGTAAACCTCCAACCGAAGTGATTTGCTTGTGAATGTTCTTCACTATTAAAGGTCAGTGATCTACGCAGCTGGTAGGAGAGGATAAAGCTCCCGTACATTCCATATTCTTGATTCCATGCATATCTCATTCCGGCCTGAAATTCATTTATGATACATGGAATCTAAATTCCGATTCCATGTATCATAAATGAACCTGAAATTCAGGCCGGAATGAGATACGCATGGACTCTAGCCACACGCAACTCCAAAACTTTTCAGTCTAGGAAAAACTTGATTGTAGCTCAAGATCTTTCGTTGACTGAAAAGAAAAAGGCAGTGTATCGGGCAGTATTGATCACATGATGCTACAAATCTTACATACAATCGACACAGGCGGTTTACGTATATGAGAATTAGCTAAGACAGAATGGACAAATTCATTGTTCGAGGTAATAATAAGAATCTTGACCCACGGCCCAGAGAGAGAGAAATTTCCACATCGGTAGCATTTACCTCCTGATATATATTCCAAACAAGAACTGAAGAATTTCTGTAATTGAAAAAGGTTCACTTCGCCACAGATATGTTGGTAATTATTAGGGTTATAGAACTAACCCTAACAAAATAGTGCGCATGAATACAACACATTGCCGTTGACAGCTGCTCAGACAAACGTAAAACGCATATTCACGTAAGACTTGTGAATTCAAAAATTAAGCAAGATACGAAGGTAACGGGGAATTGAAATGACTGAGTTCTAAAATCGCTTGACCATCTCATTAGGCTAGAGTTCAACGAGAAACCAAGTGTACTTGTTAGCGACAATTCAGAACTACGAACACAGGAAACTCACCATTTGTCCGCTGATCGATTTCGTCGGAAGCTTCAGGTCTGCCCCCAGTTTCCAGGACCGGCTCACGAGTTCCATCTGGTTTTCGGCCATTCTGGACTCTGATGCCATCTACGTCTCTGTCTCTTCCGACTGACTTCTCCTTCCTCTTGTCTCGCTCCAGGCTTCCTTCAGAGGCAACCATTCCTCGTGCGGAACCGTCCTCGACGTCTTCCGCGCCACCTTTGATTCCATCCCTATCCCACCTTCTCCTACTCCGCACTTCAGCTGTACTTTTCGAGTTTTCTTTCACACCTTTCTCGGCCTCCGAGTCCGTGATTTCTGCGACACTCTCCCTTCGATAGCTAACTTTGTTCTTTATCCTTATATTGGAGTCTATAATGCTTAAGTCCGTTTCTTGCAAATCCATAACGGTGATCGCTCTGTTGTCCGAGGCTAAACTTGCTCTCGAGACCCTCTGCTTCCGCGTGACCTTCTCCATATTCAAACCTTCCTTTCCTTGAGTAAGAGTAATCTTTCCAGCTCCTGCATCCGCAACCTTGACATCTAAATCTTGCTTGCCCTTACCCAAGGACGACGCACTTTCTTTGACGGGATCCGATGTGCCTCCATCCCAGCGATCAGCAGGACCTACGCTATCCACGCCTTCGGCCCCATCTCCGCGCCATCGCTTGGAAGAACGATGTGAGCCCGAGGCAGGCAGCGAAGAAGCTCCTAAGCTACTACCATCACCACTTCCATGCTGTCGTCTTTTCACGCCCCTACCGAATTCAGTTCCCAAGCTTTCTTTGTCCGCTTTTCCCTTTCCACCCATTTCCGGCCGTTGCGACTCACGCTCAGGCCCATCTCCGCTTCTGTACTGCGCATCATTAGTGCGATACCGAGACCCTCTGCTTTTCCCCGTTGCAGGATCCGGCGCCATACCCTCGTGTAGCCCCACCGTCGTCCTCAAATTACTCCCTGCTGCACATTTCCCGCATCCGATATGCCCGTCCCATCGTCCTCCGAGACTCCGACTCCACTCGCCCCGTCCATCATCTTCACCAACCCTCAATCCTCGTCAGTTCGCGCTCCCTGCCTCGCCGACAATCCGCCTCCTGAACATCCACCACAATCATTCTGCTCCTCGCATCGCCACGCCAACGCGACCTGCAATTCCCCTGCACTAGAATGCAATCATGTGCCAACATCTACGTGCCCCACGATACATTTCCCCATACTTGCGTCGCGCGTTTGCTGCCAAGCAAATCTCCCACCCTCCCTCGCCACCGCCTCGCGTCCTCCCGTCGAGAGCCCGAGGTCGACGACGAAGGCCCCTTGCACTCTACGACCAGTCCGGCGTCAGCCCTCCTCCTTCTTCTCCTCCTGTCCCCATCTCCGCCCAAGACGATACGAGGAAGGTCGTCACAGAGCCAAAGGTCGAGCCCCTGCCTGCCGATGGGAGGGAAAGCAGCGCGAGCCAGCGAACAAGACAGCGAGCGAGCGAGCGAGCAAGCAGCGAGCCAACGAACGAGGGACGGAGGTAACACGCACGCACGCTCAATAGCACAGCCCTTCGCTTTTCCTCGACCAACTGAGTCCTCTTCCCTCGGCCCTCGCCCTCCGCCCTTTCCTTCCCTTCCCCTTCCCCTTCCCTTCCCTTCCCTTCCCTTTCCCCCGCCCCTCACTGCCTTTGCTGCGCGGCAAGCCAAGCCCAGCCAGCCAGCTTGCCGCAAAGCCATCTCCGGCCTCGCGCCGCACGTACCGAAGCCGCTCATTGGTTTACTGGGCAGTTACCGGGACGTCCTGTCCCGCAACTCTCCCGTTCGCCCTGGCTCCCTGCCACGTCCGGTTTCTCCCGTCCCGTCCCGTCCTATCCCGCCGGGCAGCCCGCTCTTCCTCGTTTCCCTCTTGGCCCTGGCGAGGGACGGTCCATCTTTTTCAACGGGGGTTTATTCTAGTGTGGGAAACGGTTACTCCTCCCTTCGTTATGTCTCGTGCGGAATAGAATGCTTTATCTCCGATCTCGTTCTGATTCTTGCTCTCGTTCGCGCTTTGGATATGAAGGCTGCCTTGTGAGGCGCACCGAGAGAGTTGGTTTGTGGGAATTTGGAGACGGAAGGCATCGGAGAGAGAGGGCGGTCTTTCTGGTCTTTCGTGCATTGTGGCTCTCGGGCTCACTCGTTCTAGCGACCACAGCTTTAAATGTGACACTTTGGGGGATAGATGTCGACAGGCTGATTGATACCTTGTGACAGCGGGTGATGATGTGCATGCGATTCTCGATGTGACTTTCACATCACATGCACCTGGGCTCGACATCTGTGCGTCACGTCAAGAGCGAGCTGGTGGTCTGAACAGAAGCTACTCACTGCGTCACTCCCCTCGGAGCAACAGTCGATCTCTTTGATGTTGCAATCCATTTGCCAAACACGAACTCATTTGACATTGTGGAATGGTACGAGGGCAGCAGAATGTCTTCTGCTGTCAAGTCCGAATAACTCCTTGTCTCAACAGTCTTATTCATTCGATGTGACTTTTACGGTCCGCTCTCTACTGCCGGCCGAAGAGAACTCGAGGATGTACACAGCGGGGACATGAATTTGGTCCAAGTGGCAGAATCACCCCCTTCAGATTTTCATTCAGCCACCGTCCTCTTTGCAACGTGACATTTCTCGAGACTCGATCAGATTACTTGCTCTCTACAAGGAGATCATCTCCGAGAGGAGGCAGCTGAAGTTGGATTATCAAAGGAAGTATCCATCAATTTATGGCTATGTTGGTGGTTTGGAAATTGTCTCTCTAAGTCAAAGATTTTGACAACCCCAAACTTTCAATCTCACAGTTTTATAACCTTATTTCGACTTTCAATCTGTCCTCGAATCTATCGTTTTCCCCGGTAACCTTTAGCTCAAGAGAAACCCAACTTCTTAATTTTATCCGCTGATAATAAAAGATTCACGAAGTAATGAAAGAGAAGGACTTTTATCCAGCCTTTTGTCTACTCCAAAGAAACTCCTCTGATATGTTCTGCTCTCTGCCTCCACGAAAGAATGCTTGTCTTGGTTAATGATACTAAAAGACCGTTGACCTTATGACCTGAGCTCCACTTGTGGGAACTTTGAAAATGTCGATTTGTAGGAAAAAATTAATGGCTAATAATAATTTTCTCTGCTTAAATAGTTCGCCCGACTTTATGATGTTCCATCTATTCTCGAGATCTTGTAGCTTTAGATCTCGGAGTAGGTCCTGATTTGTCCTTAACCAATCAAAAGCGACCAGAGATCCAGTTGCGTAGGCGGGAGTGACACATAAGAACCGCATACACTCAATATAGGCCTTTCAACTTGTATTTGATGCGCGTGGATGATAGACCTACAATATATATGATACATTATTGGATTTTAAGACAACGTACTTCATCATAGGATAATTAGTATAAACATATTAGGATGAGAGTTGATGATGAAGCAATTTCTTAGCAACACACTAAAAAACCAATCAAGTAAATCTATTACATGAAACTTTCCTAACAAGCTAGAATTATCTAGTATCATGTAGATATAATTACATTTGAAAGAATAGTACATGGAAAAATCATAGTACAAGTAATTTCTTTCACACAAGAGAACTTTGCATCATTTTGACGCTACATATGAATGTTCCATATTATTATATATTTGAAATTCACTAAAAATTCCTCACTTAGTTAACTAAGTACTATAGTAGAAACTTACAAAACATGTGAGTTACATATTCTATAACTAATCATCACTTGAGAGTGAATGTATTTAACTCATTCAGATAAGATTTCTATAGAAATACATTCAATTTAACATTTTTTTCCTCAATTGGAATGTATATATAGTATACTTACATTCTAATTGAGGAAAAGAATGCATGTAAATGCATACACATCGTATATGCATTAATTTTTTAGTAGATACAAGATAATTATATAATCATATAAGATATTAAATAATAACTCTATAAGATGATATGATGTACTCAAGAAAAATTTGTTATTCTATCTATTTATTTATTTAGATATATTGGACAATATGATTATCAAAGCGCAAATCATCTTCATTTCTAATAAGTTCAAATCCTTAAATTTATTTTATTATTATTATTATTATTTTATCATCTAAAAAATATCAAACTATATTTATTTGTATATTCCTATATATAATTATATAGCTTGAAAATTTTAATTTTATATGATAATTTTTTAAATATCAATTTTTTGAGAATGAAAATTTTGAAGATTTCACTCAAAAACTATAAAAATATGAAATATTTTAAATTATATTTCAAATTATATTTTAATTATTTATATTACATTTCAACGTTATATGAATTTTTATGTAATCTTATATTACATAGAAATATGTTATTCTGATATTTTTTAAAAAAAATTCAGAAACAAAATCGTGATATTATTTGAAATGTGATACATATAAAAAATTTTAAAATTTTCTTTTTTTCTATTTTTTGTAAATATAAATATTTCATTCACATGGAATTTTTGCTGAATTTTTTTTAAAATAATAATTTAATTGTATAATCTAAGTTTTTTTATTGCAATATAATCACTATAAGATCAAAGTGTATCGTTTAAATTTTTTTAGTCTTCATCTTTTCCTACTATATTAATTTTCATTGTTGGGTATCACGTAAACTTACGCAAAGTATGCAAATCCTTCAAACAAATTTAAAATGCATAAGTTGGAATTATGTATTAAATTTTTAGAATTGTAAATTTTTCATGTTCTTTCAAAGTTCACACTGTATCACATAAATTGAATGCTGACTTATAAAGTACATCAATGAGTGATCTCTAAAGATTATGATTAAAGTAGTAAACCAACACGTTATTACCTCTTCTGGTCTACTGTGGTAGATTATCATGATTAATTTCAAATATATGTCAAACTCACTGTTAAAAACTTCAAATAAGTAAAGCCAGATTAACAAAAACTTAATTTTTATATCTGCCCATTTTTTCAAAATCTGGGATGTTGCTTTGTCATTCTTAGTCTAGAAGAAGATGGTTGATTACCCTTATAAAACGTAAGATGTGTAAGCATAGAAAATCAAACAAAAACCTTCCACTCTCATAATTTAATTAAGTGTGCTAATTCAATTCCACTACAAGTCAAATCATTGACTGTGTACAACTTACATTGTCATAGAAAACACAAAGACCCCAATTGATACCTTTGCCGGTAAATTTGTTAGTTTTTTTACTTTGTTTCTTCCAGCAACCGTCATTGCGTTTGGACTGAATTTACTTCAGAATACAGATCTTACAAAATGACAAATGTCCCAATTTCGATGATCTCTTAATGTTTTTTAAACCACCGACTCTAAAGTAACTGAATCCTCTGAATGTCTTACATTTTTGATCAGCTGACAAATTTTTTTATTGCAACAGTATGACGAGGACGGACGGATGTATACAAGTTTTTGAACAGCCTCATAATCTGGCCTTCAGAGCCAGATTGAAGGCCGGTTGAAGACGGGCTTGCTAAAGTGGCGGATTAGCCCTTTCCCGCCCTTTTTATCTCTCAGCTTTATCGTGGAGGTGTAGCGTCCCAGTCTCCAGCAAAGGCCCCAGAAAGGCCGAATCTGCGAATCCGTGTTCTCCATCCATTCGTTTGAAAACGATATTTCGAAGTTCCTGTGAACATTGCAGTTCCTGTGATTTCCCCGCAGGAACGTGTCTGTGATTTTTGCGATGGACGAGGTTCCAGAGTTGAACACGTACGTGCTAGAAGCCGTGTTGAAGGTGGTTCGATCAATTCCCGAATTGCACGATGCCGAAGCCGAGTGTTCCAATCTCACCAAATGCCAGGAGGAGGTGACGGATGCTTTGGTGGCTTGGCGCTCCAAGCAGTCGGATATTCACGCGCGCAATTTGGGTTTGTGCCTTGTTTTGACGGATTGATTGGCTCGCTATTTGCAGCGTCAACCTATCGTTCTGTCTTTCCTTGAAGAATTCGAATGGTAGCTGTCAGATTAATGCTGCGTTCCCTGATTCTTATAGTTTATCGTTTTCTGATCGCTTTTGCAGATTTACAACAGCAAGTGGCGCTTGCGGAGCGTCAACTCATCACTGCGAAGATGGATGGTTCTTGCGGCGAGGCTTTGGAGCGTTTGAAAGAAGAGCTCGCGCTCTTACAAGGGAGAGAGAAACAAATGCGAACTGATATCAAATAAGTGGCCGGAAAACCTTTCTCTAGAATTTCATACGAGTTTTTGATATGTCTCGTAGATTCAGATGTTGTTTTCGCAGCGAACAAGTTTTCCGCCTGAGCTCAGTGCAAATTTACTAAGATTCTATCATCAAAGTGATCCAAATGCTGCCAATCGCGCATTGCATGCAATGTACATAATTTTCGTGTTTGTAAGTGTAGAGCTTGTTTTGCTGATTTTTCGTATCCGTCGATGGTGCACAGATCTGGATGATTGCCTCGAAGCGATAGAGGAGCAGCTGCTTTCCATCAAGATGCAAAAGGAAACTTTGGAGAAGCCCGAGGGCGATGAGGCATTTCTTAAGTATGACGTCTCGCCTTGAACATTGCTTCGCCACTTCATAGCTTGTGTATAATTTACTCTCTTACTCCATCCTTAGCCCAGTCTCTGATCACATGTCTGCCTTTGGCCGCAGGAACGAGTTATCTCTGTTTTTGAACGTGTCAAGTATTCTCCCGGATTTGGCAGAACCAAAATTTTCTGGCAGTATCCTCATTTTGAATGCTTTTGGGTTCCTATCTGCCACTGTTCTGACACATCCTTTTCATTAGTCATTTTTCCTCGTTCGTCCTGTTGCAAAGCTGACATGCACAGTACGTAGGCCGGTGCCTTGCCTCTAAACATTCAGTGTCGAAGGTTCTCTCGCGAAACTTGACAATTGAAATTTGAAACTGGAAGGCAGTTATTTCCTTGAATCTTTTCTACAGCGTATGTCGACAAACAAAAAGGAGTGAAGACTTTCAAATTCTCTTCCAAGACGATGTCCCAGTTTGAGATTGGCCAAGCTGCTTGGGAGCTGATGAAATGATCAGCTTCGGCCAACGTATTTTCACGGTCCAGTGATTGGAAGTGAGAAGGACAACTCAGAACAATTGCTGTAGAAGGTCACTTGATTGTCCGGTGAACTTTCACCTCTTTCAGGAAGTAGACAACTTCATCCGTCCTCGCCGTCAAGCATACCAGGATCTTCCTGTTCAGTGCTCTCGACTCGCTTGTTTTGTCTACACAACTTTGAAATCAGATTGAGGTGGCAAGCAGAAAGGATCAGCCGGACAATTGGGTAGTTCCTCAATATTCCACAAGGCAGGAGGACAATTAGGCCTTGTAGTCGCACAATGGTCGGATCAGCCAAATGAACCGGTAGTAACGAACTTTGTCAACTTCGACTCTTTCAAAAGTGCTCGGAACATATTTTAGAATGTTTTTTCCCTTCGTCGTAGGTTGGCAGAAGTATGGTAAGGCCTTTTCCATTCATGCTGCTTTCGGCATTTGTACATAGATCTTACATACAGATTGTTGTTTCGACTGAGCACTGAAAGGACTAACGATGTATAATAAGTACACTGCTTATACAATTTCCTGCACAAATAAAGCATCTGTTGCCGATTGCTTGTACGTGCGTAAAAGTCGTTGAACGATGTTTATCTTCGTGTACACTAAATGACGATAAATTGCAGTGAGCAAAGTGACAGACGCTAACTAGTCATTGAAAGTACTCAGCAAAACTGCGGCCAATGTGTTCTCTCTGACGCTTGTTGCAAAAGACTGCCAAAACACGTGTACACATTTTGATACGGATTTATTAAACGGCTTCAGTAGGTATAGAGGGTTCGGCCGTCTAGTTCATCATGTCAGATTGTTACACCACTCACCGAATACGTGTCAAAGCAGCTCTCTAAATAGAGAAAGCATAACTAATCATGAGTCCCAAACGTGAAAAACGTTCGTATACTGCATCTTTTTGAGGGCTTTTATAGATTTTAGAGCATGAGAATGGTGGCGTCATGAACGAGAACTACTGTACATTCTCAAACTTCGTTACTGCTGCAACGTACTTTCAGAGTGTAGCCCAACTTTCCAACTACTCCGCCACTCTAAAACCACGTATCCTTCGCCCAGAGTAGATAGCTGCATGATGAAAACTGTTTCAAGTAGTAGAGAGCAAGAATCTTCAATATCCAACAACGCAGCAACGATAGGCCCCTGATCCGATCTTGGCAGTTGGCGTTCAGCGTATTCACCTGCATGTTTTCTATTGAGTTCTAACACTATCTAAGACATGTATGGTTGATTAACCATTCATACATGTCCTGCAGAGCTTTGGATCTAAAAAGAGTATCTAAAATTTGTTGTAATTTCTGTTGCCGACAAGCGATCTTCGTCACCCTAGATTATCCTGGGTATAGAAGGTAATTCGATCGGGTGAGCACATTGCTAGTCACCTGTTTCTACTAAAACTCCTACATACAAATCAGTGGTGTCTGTCCAAAGAATCTCTCAAATCCAGGGGCTGTCAAGGAGCAACTCAAGTGGTGGGCTGAAGGCCACCATCGTACCTGCACGCAAGCAACTCTCTTCTGAACTGTCTAGTGTTCAAACCTGTGCATGGCCAATACGACGAGGATGGCCAAGAAAAAATATCATCAATCCACAAAACTCCCCATACTCCACATAGATTTCTGGTTCACATGACCATTCGTCAATTCCTGTTTCATACTATATGCATGATGGCGCTCCTGTGGAGGCTGTTCAACTCTGACCTCCAAAAGCTCCAATCTCAGATCGTCCCCTCCGCCGGGGTTAAATCTACGCTGTCTCTGGACCTCACTCTTAAATTTTCGATAGAGGCCGAGAATTCTGAGCTTTTGCGCTGGGTCCTGCGAGCCAGTAGAAAACAGAGGTTCAAGTATTACAAACTTGCTCAATCTGCCTGTGATGAATATTTTGAGTTGCAGATAGGTCGAGAAGAAGGTTTAACTAACCTTTCTTGCTCCGAAAGTGTATGTCCAAGATTGAGACTTGAGATGAGGAAGGGACCAGACGAAAACTCGAGGGAGGACGGTGAAGCCCATGCCCTTGGTGGCACAATGATATGCATGAGATATTTTATTCAATCCGTAACCTCTGGAGATACACGGAAGGATGTCGAAATGTTTGTCAGTGCCAGCAAAATGCTTTCCAGTCAAGTGCTGGCATCTTCATTGCAAAACTTTTACAGATACATTCTTTGACGAGACATTGTCGACGTTGTTAAGACAAAATCAGGAATGTACCTTACCAAATGAGAAATGTATATGACGTACCTAAAACGGGCGTCGAAGGGAGGTATCAGTTCTCGTGCGCACACAACATATGGCTCGTAATATTCCCTGCGCAAGTCAGATAAGTGGGATTATCAGACTGTCTCCATCTTTTCTTGTTACTTAATGTACAGTTTAATACTGTAAGCAGATGGGAGAGTTGACAAACACCTGTATTGAACTTTATATGGGCCAGACGTTGAAGGATTGAGAAACCGCTCATAGTTGGTAGGCTTGTGTCCTCTCGGAAAGTGAGAGCAATGAAATGCTGTGGCTGCTCCTTCCATCCACTTCACACGTAAATCTTGGTATAAAGTAGGATAGCTGACTCTTGACCGCTCCAAGACCTCAGATTTTCCTGTTGTGGACTCGAAGGCAGGTATGACTAACAACTGCCGGTCTTCTATAGCCATTCGGAGAAGTCGAGAATACAGCTTCTCGTCACCTGTGAGTACATCATGCATTCTGTTTCATAGAGGATTAACATGGGAACTTCATGGTTTCCTGAAGCATGTAGCATGTAGGGTTCGATTTTCCATAACGACCATCCACGAATAGCCATTTAATACAGAGTCAGGAAAACTTGACAATACGACATTGCGACTGAGAACATCCAAGAAAGCTAGACGGTGAAAAGCTCACCCTCTGCTAGGTACAAAGTCAGCATCGAGAATGAAAACGAGCTCCGTGGCAGCCATGCTCAGTGCCAGATTTCTCATTGCGTTTATCTGCACATTAGAAAACGTTGATGGCTTGAGACGTCTTCCCGCAACGCCCATACAAAGGAGCGGTTTCAGCGTGCACGTGATAGCGTCGAAAAATGTCACACACTATCAATATATTGCAGCTGCCATATAATCAGCTGATATGGATCACGGAGACGAGAGTTTGGCACAACGAAATGCGTCAAATTAGCTGATTAATTAGTCCATACATCGCTGAGAAAAGAAAGGGAATATTTACTTACTGGATACAGAGCAGCTGGTGATGGAGTATCAGTTGAAAGACCATCTTCCGTCGCCACACAGACGTCTAGTCTACAATGATGTTGTGCTTCAATTCTCGCGTGCAAATCACGCAATTTTGGATACAGCTGCTTTAGCTCTGACATACTGCTAATATGTATAGCAACGCACATTGCACCTCCCCAGGATGTTGCCATAGCTTCGATTGCAGGCAACCGATCTGCTGAAGCCTGAAATCTCGACCCCAGGACCAAATCATCAACCTCAGAATGGAAAAAGCAGCAGGTTTGGAGAATCTTGAACTCAGTACCTCTACAGAAGACAAAGTAGGATGTATACAATGATTTTTTTGAGATCTGATTACATTAACTAACATCATGAAGTCCGAACATCTACAGTCGTTAGACACTCATTCTGGAAAAGCTAAAGAGGATGTCCATTAACTGCTTCACCTGTGTAACAATTGTAATTTCTCTCGGTCGTAGGGGTAGTCTGCTATGTAACGGACCTGCTTCATCTTTTGCAGTAAGCACCCGTAGTTTCACCAATGGATGGTCATACACGTGCTCGTAGAACCATGCCTGCCACACAATCACATGTTATTCCTTCCACCTTCCAAGTGTCCAACAGTGATGCCCGATTAGATCGATGGGTCATGATTGGGGCTGCTTTGAAGGTTAAACTACTTTGCAACAGGTTGCGATGAAACGAATGGCAGAAAAAGTCTCTCTACGCAATTTCACTTTCAGCTGAGCTCATATGAATCCCTCCAGTTGGCCCAGAAAACATTTGCACACCAACTTGAACTCTTCGTTCCACAGGGTGCCCAAGAGATCCTCACCGAGAACGTACTATGATTTTTAACTAGGTTTCAAAAGTCTCCTCTTATGATACTTAACTCAGTGCTGTTATACCTGCATTTCAGCCAGTGTCGTTGACAATGATGACCTGACACGAGTTACAGTGGATCCTTTCCCGAACGCCCAGCGAGCGATGTTGCGGATATTGCGCGCTGTCTTTCTACGCACCCTTGTTACTTGATTGCTTTTGCGCAATAACAGAAGAAGTTTTCCAGTAAGTGCGAAGACAAGAGATAGGAGGCCTTCGAAAGCTCCAAAGTAGACTCCCACCAGTAAAGTGAGGACAATCACAAGTCTGGAGTATCCATCCAACATCCACAATCTGCCCACTTGGCTGCTCGGATGCGACCGTGAAGCAGTGCTCCATAATTTGAGAAAGGAAAACTTCTCTTCAGATTGCCACCCTCCAAAGGATTGCTCAGGATCGAAGTCACCAGAAGCAGAGACGCCTCCAGATCCTCCACCACTCGCACCAATACCAGCAGCATCACCGCCATCACCACCAACTTCTCCAGGATTTCCACCGTACTCTCCAATTGCGTCCAGGTCACCAATGCTGATCCCGCTATCTACAAAGTCCAGCAAGCCCGCAGAGCTTCCATCATCACCGTCATCTCCGAAAGCTTGTGCGAACAGAAGACCTCCAGCAGCACCTCCGAAAGCATCTCCACCGCGTGAATCTCCTCCCTCGTCGTCGCTGTCATCGGAAGAAGAAGAAGACGAGGAAGAGGAAGAAGATGAAGGACGTGCACCACCAATGCTATATGCTCCATAGCCTGCAAGCAGACCCATTTGCAGAGGCCTGTTGTTCCTCACCCTTCCACTACCATGGCGGTACCCGAGCCTGGACCACATGGAAGCATGTTTTTTCTTGGCAGGAGGAGGGGGAGGAGGGTAGGATTGCTGAATGTACTGGTGACCAGGAGACGAGGCTCCTTGCGTTCCAAATCCTGAAGGAGGTATGAATTGCTGCTGGTAGGAGGTGTTGGTAACTCTTCCATATGCTGGAGGAGGGTAGTATACCGGAATGCCCTCGGCCACCGGGCCCTGCGTGTAGGCTTTGGCAATTTCGAGCCTGGGGTCGTTGTAAGACATAATGCGAGCATCGTAATTCACGAAGTAGCGCTGGTTCGTTGCGAGATCCAGCTGTTCTTGCCATCCGGGAGGCAGTGGCCATGTGAGAGGGTCCACACCAATTGCAGGTCCTCCTTCCCACGGAGGAATGACGCGCTGAGGCTGTGCCGAATCAGTGCTCGTAGCAGTTCGTTCAGGGAGCCCGAATCCAGGTCCTCTGGGATCATCCCACTGACTAATTTGCAACTGAGTATGGAAGAAATATGGGTATCCCGAGGCCGGATCTATGGCAAAATCCCAACCCACAGGCAGGGGAGGAGCTGGTGCCTGTTGGACCGGAGCCCATTGTGAGTTCTGAGGCTGGACTAGACCTTGCGTAGGGGGTGAAAAGCTTCCCACTTGCGGTCGAGGACTTTCTGAGGTCGAAGCCTGCGGATCTACCACCTCATACCTGGGCTCCTTGCTAGTTGATGCTCCCATTTCTCTATCCCCTCCTGCTGTCGTCAACTAGAACAACACATTCTCTCTTGCACATAAATCACGCCGTGTTGCTCCAAATTCTCGCTCCCTTCCGTTCCTGAAATTATGAACTGTGAGATATCTCGTCAACAGCCTTGTGCAGAAGTGGGTCATTCATTACGCAGTCGTCCTCCCTCGATTCCACTTTTACTTCCGTCAACTCCAATCTTCTTCCATGATTGTTCCGGGCCATTGTGGAAAGGAAAGCTGCAGAGGAAAGCTCTCTAAAATCTCCTTTTCTGCGCGAGACAATCTCATGTGCCCAGGTGCAGCAATCGTGTGATGAAGGTGATTTAGGTTCACTAGCTAGACGCGGAGATACTGGACAAACATTATGCAATTCCAAACTGCTGTCTCTGGGAAGGACGGGGGAATGGAGACACTTACTTGCTGCTGCGTGCTTCGGTCCTCGGGAGCCCGTCCGCCCGATCATTCGTGGATAGATTGATAATTCAAAAACGCACTTGTGAAATGGGAATATTGAAAGGCCTGTCTGTGATCAAGATTTGCATCAGATCATGGACAATCGATCCACAACACCACTGATGTCGGATCTGCCAGCACCCAGATCTAGTCACCAGTTGCTGAAGTCCAGGGACCTTGTAGCCAGAGAAGGGCATCCAGAACTACAGGTCTTGCTCACCTGCAGTATCCACCCGCGTAAAAGCATGCCATCAGCATCTACGGCATCAATCCAGAAAGGTAAAATTAGCTTGCCCAAAAAAGGAGGCAGATATCAAGGCTGTTCGTAGTGGGATTCATGCTGGCCTGGCAACTGGCTCCACACTTCAAGGGCGTACAAGCAACGCAGAAAAATACAAAACGGCTTAAACGAGCACCTAATAAACCAGTGCACTGAATTCTCGCCCAGTCTCGGGCTGGTCTGCACCCACAAGTTGAGATCAGATGGGCAGCCAAGTACACAACCTGGCGAACGTGTTTGGAGCATTCTGCTGCAGCCCCTCCATCGTCACTACAGGGGACCAGACAAACCCTTCCATGCCCAATTCACAATTTGAATTGGTACATGTCTCCGAAGGTACACCAGAATGATCGAGGATCGGCAGGCATCCGTATCACGGATTTAATTTTGTCCGCAGTCCCTGGCGACCTGACTTTCGCAATACAGTGAACTTTTGCAGGCAACAGGTACGCACGGCGGATATACAAATTGTCAGTGATGGTTTCTTTTGACGTTGAGCTTCCTTTCCTCGCTAAAGTCCCCTCTTTGATTTTAATCTCCAAACGGGTCAATGGCAATTATTCAAGACGGCATCCGCAGAGAGTCATATAACAAGTATTGATGGAAATCCAACGATTCCCGTGATGGCAAGAGCAGGGGAGGGGAGGGGAATAGAGGGCACGAGAAACCATCCATGGGAGCTGGCAGCTCCTCCGAAGTTGCTTCAGTGGAACCGGGTCGAGGACATAATTTTCTATTACCTTATCAGGTTCATGTTCGTATTGATCTGACTGATTCAGCAAGATATTCCAAAGCAACAGACCGATAAACGTCAAGGATCTTGAAAGCATAAACTGGCCCTCGGACCAATAGCAGGGCAGCAGACTCTCAACAGTGGAAGATGCTGTACGCTAGCATTCCTTGGAGGAGGCGACAGACGTCCAAGGGGCTCATGAACTCAGAATGCTTTCCCGAAGGATGGTGGCCAACCAAAGTTTAGTAGGAAAAAGCTGATGACTACGGACATTAGATTTACCATTCTACTGTTCGTCTCTAAACAGGAACATGGCTGCAGTCCCGACCTGCGCTAGATGGAGTTGAAAACAACAAGGACGCTTTAAAAGTCCAGCAGTAATCTTCCAGGATAAGTCTTCCAATGACGTTACCAGAAGGCATAGATAAGAAATCACCTGTACTTTCATTCTGGTACTAAGATCTCATTGAAGTGAGCGCTTAATAATACTCTAAGCTTTCATGAACTATTGCACAATACTTTATATTAGCCATCGAATCGCTGCACAGTGAGGGCCCGGGAAAGATGAGATGCCCAGCATAGTGGTGGTGGTACACAGCATTGTGGGGACAGGGGACAGGGGACAGTTGGTTTGATAGACCAACAAAGATTTCAATCAGAGCCACTTGTGTACAACGCCACAGCATAAAGGTGCGTGCTCGTACAGAATTACAGGGAACGAGACAGCCATAGCACACCTGCCTGCCTGTACGTACGGAACCCAGCCTAACTGTGTGAACTGCAAGCAATTACGAGGAAGGGCGAAAGTGTCAAAACCTCTGCCTCGAAGGCCTTTCATATTCTACTGTGGACCCACCTTTTGCTTCCTCGCTTTACTGGACACCTCCACCTGATAGTGCAAAAAGGTTTGATTTGAGACAGCTGTTACGTGCAAACAGAATCAGGGTCTATAACGCCCGTGCGCCTGTGATGCGACTCACATCAAATTCTTCAGGAATGAAGTATACATTTGATAAGTCTTATGGATCTGTTCAGGTGTATTGAGATATATTCACCTTTATGCGTTGAAGATTCGTTTGTTCCCTCAGTGTGTGGAGAACGTGTTGAGTCTCATGATCCTTTGAAGCCTCACATTCCGAAATCATGAACGCGCGTTGACCTATCTACATGTGGAGGCCCCATGGCACTTGAATGTTACCAATCCGTTCCCACTATTGTGATTGGAGCAGCCGCTAAATGTGTCCATTACAACTGAACATTTTCTCAATTCAGTGGTGCTTCGCCCATGTGGTTGGTCCATGAGGAAAAGTCCGGGGCTTGTGTAATTTCTCATGTGAATGTTCTCTGTCGCTGCAGCTAGAAAGTAGTCTCTGTTGGATGAGAGTATGATCGGCCACATCTGATTGGTCGTCTTTGACACGCTCTCAGAACCTTTAACCCAGCTCTCTTGGATGAGTTGGAATTGGCGTTTCCATGTTGACTCATAATTCACGGTGAGAAATCTTAAGGTCCTTGCGATATGCCCATCCGGAATCCAGGTGATAACTTTCCATCGTTCCCACTTGACTTGTTCTTAGCATTCCTGATGCAGAATTATTTGACAGATTTTATGCTGAGACTTGATGAAGAGGACTCATCACCTACAAGAGACAATATGGCTCTTCCGCTCTACGCTATGAATAAGATGAACAATAGACAGTGTCATGCTGAAAAAGATAAAATACATCTTTGAGCCAGAGCCCAATCGTGCTCTGGAAATGATAGACGATGGACTTCTACTATCCAAAATGACTCGTCTCTTTGGAGTACTCTTTAAAATCATAACAGGTAGTTTGTATCAATAGCTCCATTGCGAGGTTCCGTCCTGCAACAGCAGACTAGACTCTCTGAGCCTATGTCAATGCTTGGCAATGCAGTCAAACTCGACCACTCCAGCACACGGCCCAACCTTTCACGGCACCAGATAACGTGGGGTTGGCCATCATTTCCAGCTGTTCACTTCGTCGAGTGTCAGAGCTCGAAAATCTCGCAAACTTTCATGTGTAGACTACTTCCAAGGAGCAAGTCAAGTATAGACAGCGTTTGTTATTAACTAAATGATTTCGCATAAGTAACAGCAGAGAATGTCGAATTGCTGACATTTTGAGTCAATCTCATGCAGCCTTTCTGACTGTTTGGAGCAAGTTGGGACACAAAGAGCTTTTGATGAGCTTGAGCAATTGATGACAGAGCGGGTTGGGCTTGCCGGGTACCAAGACAAGTCTAACTCAAGGAGATAGTCGTAATTTTTTGGCAAAAAGTAACTAGTTGACTTTTAAGTTGCTCAGTGATGTCTACATTTTGTACAAAAGCAGAAGTCAGGTGTATTGAGTTTAGCATTCCAGTTTTGAATTATTTTCTTACCTCCTCGAATTTGTTGACTGATCACCAAGACGGATTTGATGCCAATTCTAACCCTAAGCCGTCGACAAAGACAAGACATTGCTTAAAAGGTGATATAGTTTCATTCCAGCAAACAATGGATAATATTTCTTGTTGTTACCAAACCACAATACAGCCATGCCCTAGATGTAGTTGTTCGAAAGTGAACCTCGTTCTGGATGAACCTCGAATGCATCCCAATATTCCCAACAAACCAAAGATCGAAAGACACAGTGCCAACTCTTATCGATGCTGATAAGCCCTAAACCTTGCAAGCAAATGGAACACGGGGATAGACAACAATCGCGACATCGAAGATTTCTCAATGCAGGATTACACAGAAGCTTACAAAATATAGGATGAAAAGTCCAGCAAAGAGCCAAAGCAAAAACATGTCCACTCCAGTTCTTCAATCTGCGCTTGTCACATGTGTCTCCATGGGTCAGCAGTCAATGTACATGATCGAGAACTGAAAAATGACGAGAATTCAAACGAGATTTCAAACGACATTCCAGCAGAAGGAAGAGTTCAAAGACCCTCATACCAAATGAAGGACAAGTGAAAGTTAAATATCGTACTAATAAAGAGGTGGTTACATTTGAACACACCACACATCTGGTATGGAATGGAATTAAGAGGTAATAACTTTCCGATGGCCTTAATAAATCTTCTACTAAAACTGTATTCTCTACAAGGAGCACAGCAACTTTGGTGGAGAGGAAATTTAAATCCAAGTGGTGTTCTTCTCGGTCTTTTCCTTCCCTCCCCTGCTCTTGCCTTGCTGGTGTGTTTTTAGGGATCCGCCCTTCCTCGCATTTGAGAGAGGCATTCCCGTAGTGCTTGGTATTTTCAGAGACTCTCTTCCTTAATAAACAACAGTAAATGCATGTGGCCATTGTATTTGAGAGGAGGAGACGAGACTCGTGATGAGGGAGAGAACAGAGAACACATGCTCATACATGTGGGATGACACAAACTCGTCCATCCCCTGAACACATCAATATTTATAGGACTTTGGATATGAAAAGATATGTTCTTCACATGGTTGTCGTAGATTTTAATTCGTTTCTGACAAGAGAAGCTGTACATTGTCTCAAGGGTTTAAATAAATCCCTAAAAGAGAGAAAGTTTTTAGCGGTCATGTTATCCTCAACTGGTATCCAAGAGTATTTATAAATTTGTTCGACATCACTAAGCTCCTCTTCTTTAGCTATGCTGGCGCTGGTCTTGAAAGTAAAAGCCCTGGAGTTCAAAGAGATGACCTCTTTCCCTTATTTTCAAACTCTACGTTTATGTATACGATACGTAACAAATAATTCACAGAGTCGAACATTAAGTGTAAACTGAACCGAGTGGATATATAAGTCTTCGCATAACTTTTGATGTTTCGAATCATAAAATGTTTCTCCTTTTATGATATGAAATCGATAACCGATGATCATGATCTGAGTGCATTTCAAAAGGTTTAGTTATAAGCTTGAAATGAGCTGAATGTTTTGAAGTTCATCAACCTTACTTGAAATCATGTGAACTTTTAATTCTCATGATCGAAACTGTTAGAATGACTGATAAAGTTCAGGGAAACTAAAATTGTAAAGTCATAATACATTATAATTCCATCCACCCAAGAAAAATCAAGTTCCGTAGTAAAATTACTTCCTTACAAAAGATCAAGACAAAGTAGAAACATTTTGCACTCTACACTATGTGTGACACCAGTTGTGTCACACATGTCACAAAGTTCTCATTTTATTTAAGAAGCAGATTTGGGATTGGTCCATTAATTGTTGAAACCCGCGTACTGACATAAAAGCGTTCACTCTCAACGAAATAGAATTTCTCACGTTGTCAAATTTCGTTCTCACCACTCATCTTCAATTCTTATAATACGCTCTTCCATTTGTATAATAGAAATGTACTACAAATCAGTATTTTCCGACGCCTAAAAAGTCAAGTCAACTCGTATTTAAAAATTTGGGAGTCTTCATTATGAGTTTGCTGGTTGCAGATGGAACGTGTTTTCATGTATAAGCAGCAAAGAATGAACAGGAAGGCATTGAAGCAAGAAACCAGGGATTTAGACTGTGTTTGAAGGTGACTTCTCGATGGAGCTGCGGTGCCCGACTTTCACAATTGCCGAAATTTGGCGGAGTTCTCTCCTCATCCATGAACTTCTTCTCTATTGCCACATTGCCAGACGGTGAGCAACCGAGGTCTTGTTTTGCACTGGATTAATATTGTCAAGCTCAGTGCGTGCTCTAAATGCCAACATCTGGGTTCCTTTCTCCAAGATCTTTGTGCTCAAGCTTCGAAGGCCACATTCAGGACGACAGTACGTGTAGATGCCAGATGGAGGGCAAAAGAAGATCTTGTAGTTCACTTCGGTTCTAAATTTCGTCGAAGTATTCTGATTCTGATTTAAGATTTAGAAAGACATTACGTCCGACCTGCGCGGATGGATCGGAAATCAAACCACACCTTACCACACTGAATCCATGCAAATCATGAGAATACAGATTCATGGAAATCAGGTGTCAGATCCGATCAGTCAAGAATTCCGCTATTCATGGCCATCATGACACCTGTGAATACTTCCGAAACTGGTTGCTTGAATTCACGGTCGTTTTGAAACTGTTCTTAGCACATTGTATTTCCTTCAGCACTACGTTCAGGTCTTGGTAGCACAATCGTCAATCCATAGCGGTTAGGAGGCAGCCCGGGATTTCAAGGCCTTTGCAAGAGCCCTTTCTGCTTATGAGCTAGGTGAATTGTAAGCAGTCATCACAAATAGATGTCTGTTTTAGTGCTAGTCTTGAACGTATTCAAAATTGCCGCAGAGACGAGGTCCTCTTGGAGGCACCGAAAATTGCATCGAAGAAGCTTGTTCTGTCAATTGTGCCAAATATGTTCAAAATACATATGCCAAAGGTCGAATGTCGAAAGGATCCTAAGATTATGGGTTTGAAGAAAGCTGCATTCCTAACTTTACACAAAATTTCTGCTTCAGAGCTTTTCTTACTTGCTGTAGGGTTCGGGGAGCACGAGTTATCTCTATCTGCCAACGCGATGCAGAACGAGAGTCAAGTCAAATATTCGTTAAGTCTTGATTCCAGAAGCACATGCTCTTCCGTGATCTTGGGCAGTCTCGTCTTTTCAGTTGTCAAAGGTACAGGTGCCACTTCATGATCGGGAAATGAGAGAAACAGCACCACATCCTCGTGGATATAGCCATCAGGACTGCGTTTAGCGCTCATCGTGTCATCAGGACTCCTGTTCTCATCCGTCAATTTCGCTATCGGTCGAGGTAAAGTTGTCAATTTGTTGCGATCATCGGGTTGAGGGAGCATGGCGTATATGAGCCCAATCGCTAGCCATTGAGCAGCTCCAGTAAGGATTGCTGCCATATTTCCTGACGCATAAAATATTTCCCTCATCATCATTCCTAACCTAATCTCAGTTTCCAAGTAGAAGGTTTTGCGTTGATGCAGTAGCCGAGGTCAAAATCTTCCTGTGCAGAAATCCTCAACGCCTTTCTCTGTGGTTCTGATTCCGATCGCCTTGAGGACCACTCAGGCTACAATCAGCCGCTTTGGTAGTGCCTCTACCTGTTGGCTTCATGGGTTGTATCCTTGAATGAAATCCGGAGGTGAAGAGCTAATCACATTTTCGGGGCTGAATTTCTTCGATCTGATTGGCTGTAATAGTACCTACAATTCTTCAGAGTTCGTCACGGCTCATTGATTGGAGCAACTACATCCTGATGCATCAAACGCCGTTCTGGTATGTTGCTTGTGTTGTTTCTGCCGATTGTATCCTCAGGTGGATTCGTTAAGCACTTGAGGCACAAATGAAGCTGATGATTGTCGTAACCGTCGATTGAAGTATTTGTCATGCATTAGGTTGCTTTTGCTGCCATGTGCCACGCTATGTGAAACAAAGTGCGACAGCTGCGGAGCTATACTCGCTCTTCGGTAGATTCCGGTGGCTTATCAGCGCGAGCTTTGCGGATCCGTGGTGGGATCCAAGCCCTCCTTTTGACGATGGACTCTCACACGAGACTAATGATGAAGAAAGAAAATCTTCGATATGACGAAGATCGCTGAGAAAGTGATTCGAGTTGGATTGTGACCCCGGACGAGGAGATTCGAAACCTTTCGTCTTTCCTTGCGCTCTCGATCGCAGAACTGTTTTTACACCCGCTAACTCGTACTCGCGAAAGTGGGACATAGATGTTCTGATCACGAGGTTATCCGAGAATGATTTCCGTCTCTTTTGAATTCCGTTAAGTGTCCTCTACATCTGTGACCTGATACCTACATTGCAAATGGTACTTCGTCTGGGCTGGAGTAGGAGAATACGAGGAACCTGCAGGCTTTGCGATAGAACTGGTTTCTTTCCGGTTGGCTTTTCTCCTATTAGTCACAGGAGAGCTTCCATCGGAGGATTGAAGGCAGGTCACGCAGCACGTTCTGGGTTCGAGCCGTCTGTAGGCTTCCAACTTACAAACAGAAAAGATTTCGCCCCTGAAGAAAACGCGCTGCCACCCGGGAACTGCCTTCATATGGTGGCAAGAGAACTGAGCATCGAGCACGTGGGCGCAGTTCCAGTTCAGAGGACAACGATGAAGTGGGGCTGGAAGGAGAAGATTCGTGTGCTCACAGCTCATGAGCGGTGAGCTGTGAGCACACGAATCTTCTCCTTCCAGGGCTGGAGCATGAGCAGCAAGAATGCTGCTTATTCATTTCTCTATGCCCAGAGTCGGTGTTAACATCCTAAATCGTCCGACCCAGTGAAACTCTGAACTTTGTGAGCTTCAAACAATATTCACTTGCATCAGTTTCAGATGCTTTTCCTTCAACCACTTCCACGGGACAACCGAAAATGTCTGCTTCTATCGGAAGCTGTCCTGTCATGGAAAGCTGTCATAAATTTGATGCCAATCTTGGAGAGAAGGTCTAAAAGTGCTAAGCGTAATCTGGTTTTCCAGTCCACGACTAGAAACCAGGAGGAGTTCATCTAAAGCGTGGATCAGTCCTTGCTTGTGCTTGGATATGAGAATGGTCAATGGACAGAACTCTGCGAATAACCTTCCCTTACAGAGTCCCACTCTGAACGTCTCCATTGTGAGTTCTTGACAGAGGAAGTATCTGCTGAACGCTTAAAACGGAGCAGATATTGAACTCGGTTGTCATTGTGATGCCTTTCCAAACAGGAGTGTCATCACCTGTCACAGGTGATGACACAGGTGACCTGTGTCATCACCTTCGCCCTCTCAATGTATTGTGAACAAAAGAAGGAGCAAATAGATTCAAATTAAGGGAAAGAAAATCAAGCTAGAGAGGAGAGTTCCTACACTGCATCTATCTTCTTATATAAGGAAAGAGATCATCGAAATTTAGAATATAGTCATCGACAGAAGTACGTTCTTTCAAGTGATGTAGAAACGGGGATAACAAAATATTTCAATCCATCTTCTAGAGTGTCAACGCATTGTTATACACGTTTTTTCTAACCTGCTGCAGTCTGAACGTGTGAGAATATAAATTGACAGATACCGCACCTGGTGAGGACATGGTTGGATGGTTAAAGAGCTCAAGTGATCCAGATTTGATAGAAAGTTCATACTGGAGGACAGTGTAAAGGATGCAAATGTTGAAGATGACTGTAGGAACTCTCTAATATTGATTGTGTTGACTACAGTGACTTGAAGTGGTCACGTTTTCAGAGTTAGTGAACAATATATGTCAACTATTGTGATAGATACACATCCACTCAGATGACTGACTACTTAAGCACTAAACTGAAAGAAGTTACTTTCGGAGTCTGCAGGCAGGAGGTGGGAGCTCAAAAGCATATGCACTAAGCTGTCAATATTATGAACAATCTTATGGACAGGAACCCCTTGCTTCCGCCGCAGGGCAATGCAGAGGGTGTCAGTTCCTATTAGATAACACTCGCTCCAGGTCGAAATAACATGCCATACAAATTAGCAAATAGAGATAGAATATTTCAACTCCAGTAAAGGTCACATTATATTGGCAAAATAGAATTTACAGAGTCATCTGCAGATATTTTTTGCTTATTCCGTCCCCGTGATTCTCATTCATCAATATCTAGCTAATATAGATCGAAAGTCAAGATTCTCCGTACACGACCTTCTAAGGAAAGTAATAACGGTATCCTCCCTTGTCTGGTCTAGTAGCAGAATCCGGAGGATTTGGATGGGTAGCAGTCCCATCCTCACTAGAGCTCAGTGGGGTAGCTCAGTAGGCTCAATAGATTTCTGTCAACATTCTGTGGCATACAGAGAGCACCATGTGGGCTGTTGAAACTGCTCTGCTTCTGGCATGAGATCTCTAAAGTCCAACCACATCAGCAGTGTCCCAACCTATATACTCGGACATTCATGCACGAGGTTACACTATATTCCAATCCTCCTTTCCGAAAAGCTGCAATTTCACCTTAGTAGTTCTGAGGCAATCGAGAATGGCTGCCGTTACAGCGCGGCTGGGCAGGCTCTTGGTGCTACCAGAAAGAGCTCGCCAAGAAGGCGAATGGCGGAGATCCCCGATTGGCCATGCCCTAGAACAGCCACAGGAGCTCCTCTAGCATCTGTTCAGTTCTGCCCTTTCACGTTGCATTTCGAGATGCTGTCTATGGTATACATCACGTTCCCTGGGGATGGTGAAGAATGTGAAAGAGTTTTATGGAATTAGCCCAGCTTCGTGCTTGCATGTCAGTGAGCTCAACAGATGTCTGTTATTATTTGCAGGTATGGTGAAGATCGACCAGAGCACTAGGGGCCACTCTCCTAGCCACCTCCATCATAGCTGACCGGTGAGTGTCCCAGTGAAGACCAATGAGACACCGCTGGGCGTTCAGCTCACCCCGAGACCTCCTCCAAAAACAGGGAGTCGGACATGATCCCTGCTCGACAGGCGACAATGCGAGCTCTTGGATGTAGTTTCCCCGAGCTGCTGGCCAGGAATGGTGGTAAATCCAGAGAGCAGTGTGGTTCAAGGCCAGATCATAGACTTTCAGCAAGTTAAGTTTTGGACTACCTCGTGCACGCACAGAGCATTTGGGCAATCTGGGCCTGCCGAACCGTGCCCATGGGTGCCATCGAGGCGATACAGAGGGACGCGTGGTACACAGGGAGAGATCACGTACTCCATCTGCTGTAGTGGTTCATTCGACCCATTGAACCTGGCAGAGAACCCAACACTGTGGCCGAGTTTAAGGTGACGCAGCTGAAGAACGGAAGTCTTGCCACGTTCTCCGAACATGTCACAGCAGGCGGGGGACCATTCGAGGGTTTGTGGGACAGATGCAGCGGTGAACAATGCATGGGCCCACGCCCAAATTTCGCTCCCGAAAAATATACTGCACACTCAATATTAGACGAACTCTCCAGTTTGGTATTATAGAGTACACTAATGGAACCACCTCTAAAGTACTGTCGATTAGAGTCCTGCAATGAATATGTCCAATACCCACCCATGGCACAATGGGTATGGGCTTGGATGCATGGGTGGGTATTACCCACCCATTCAGCTGGATTTTATCAGGTCATTGTTCCTATCGCACTCAATGTGTTGAATAATCTCAAAAGGTATTGCTATCTCGCCTTCTGAAAGACACTCGATCATTATTGTACTTCACCCATATTGCTCCAGCTTGTTTTCCCATTGTTCATTATTATCATATGCTATCGCACTCAATGTGTTGAATAATCTCAAAAGGTATTGCTATCTCGCCTTCTGAAAGACACTCGATCATTATTGTACTTCACCCATATTGCTCCAGCTTGTTTTCCCATTGTTCATTATTATCATATGCACGAAGACAGAGTGAGAGCGAAGAGGAAGGAGACACCGATGAATATCCCTTCATTTTCCCACACAGCTTTAGAGTGATTAATTGTGCATCGCCCTTTCGGATAATCAGAGTAATCCGAAGGGGCGATTATTTAGATTTATGGGATATATTAGACATCAAGATTACACATCGATATGTGACCTCATCGATAATTTGATATAAAATCTTGTCTCATAAACTAGGGTATAACTCTGCTCTGCAGAGTTAAAATCTTGCTTATTCTCTCCCACAACTTCATAGAATGTTAAGTAATCCTGGATCCGAAGATAAGGAGTTGAAAAGCAAATGAGAGAAAACTGAAGATGATTGCGGTCTCATGCTGCTTAGGACCGTAGTACTTTACTCTACCTTACTTATTTGGTGGAAGGTGATTGAATTGAACTTTTGAAGTAATTATATGAATCAAATTATCAATCAGTATGTAACTGTTTACAAAAAAACACTCCAAAGTATTCTTAAGTAATAGATTGATTGATGGGTATGGGTTGGATAATGGGTATGGACAAGGTGCCACGGATAACGGATGGTTGCAGTTGATCAAGTGCAGTTGTGGGTTGGATATGGGTACAATTGTCAAGTCCAATGCATGACTTTGTTGTCTATGTAATGTAAAATAACAGCCTGAAAGAATGTGGGAATATATGGAACTGAGATTGGAATCTCATTCCCACAAGTTTGATATCAATTTGTCCGTATGATGATTTATTTCATATATCTCCGTTTGGACTTGGATGTATTACTGAAGTTTGAGATTCTCATTTTCATCGCTTTGTCGTGCGAATACATATCGCCATACACTCACCATCGCTGACATGCTACTCACATACACATACGCACACACATACACACATATAAGGCGCGAGAGAGTACACATTCAAATGTCACAATTGAAATAGACGGGAGATTCCCCACTGGAATTCCCGTCGGTCAATTACCCTACTGGCAACAAACCGTCACCGTCACAAACATGAGTCAAGCCCAACCCACTCCACACTCGGAGAATCCAGGTCGACGCAAAAGGGAAAGTCACTCTACGCTCCCAACGCTTCCAGGCTCGACTCGAAGAACTAACGTTCTTCGAGCCGTCCCCGACTCTATACTCCTCGTGACCGAACCCTAACTTCACCTCTAAAGATAGTAAGTGACTAAACTGCGTGAGCCGACTCGTAACTACATGACAGCTGTCGTGCGAATACATATCGCCATACATTCACCATCGCTGACATGCTACTCACATACACATACGCACACACATACACACATATAAGGCGCGAGAGAGTACACATTCAAATGTCACAACTCGCCCCCCTAGCTGGCGGTCAGGTCCCTCTGACTCCCAGGTAGCCCTATCTACAACTACATGCTATACACCTTCGTGGGTGCGCGAACCAGTAGGCCGGGTGCTATGTCGCCCCATCGTTAGTCGCCTATCTGCAATTCATAACATGTGAAGATCAAGTCATCTACCCCTATGAAGTACATCGAGGCAAACCCATCGTCCAGTCGGAATAACATAGATAGGCGGAGTCAGGCACAACATGTGCCATCCCCTAGAACACCTATCACACACCAACATACGGGCCGCCTGACCAGCTGACCCACACAGCATGCACCTCAAACCAGCACGTACTACCGCTAAGCTTGGGTCCATAGTGCCATCTACATTTGGGAGGTGGCATGGCGCACAATTGCGCACATGATCCTTCCAAACAACGCCGTCACGACCCTCCAATAGGAGAACTCCAGAAGGTAACACCTCCCGCACCCGCAAGATTGTGCGTCCCGCCGTCACATCCAATATCGTCGGTGCAGTCTGCTGTAGATAGACGTAATCTCCCACATGGAATCTACGAATTGATGGTCGATAACCTCCTCCCCGAATGGTTGCATACCGCAACGTATCTCTATGTTGAGCAATCGCAAGATTCTCAAACGCTGCAGGCATAACTCTCCGAAAGAGCTCTGCACGTTGAGAACATACTCTCACCCACATATTCGGGTCATCAAGGTTCACCACCTCGCTAGACTCACGACGAATCGATGTTGGCAAGTCTGGATCTCGGCCGTACAATAGAAAATATGGTGAGAAGGAAGCCAAGGATGCCTGCCGACTGAACCGATATCCCATGGCCAACCACGGTAACTGGATATCCCAGTCCCCAAGATGACCTTTCTGCAGGCCATACTTGCGCAACGCCCTCTTCACCGTCTGTACAACACGTTCAGCTAAACCATCCGCCTCTGGATGATCTCGCGACGTGGTCCGATGATCAATCAGTGCCTTGTCGCACAAGACCTGAAACTCACCCTGAAACTCCGTTCCCTGATCGGTTAACACCTCAGCTGGTGCACCATAGTGACTAAGCACTCTGTCAAGAAAAGCATACGCTACTCCCTCACTTGCCTTGTCAGGTAATGCCACCAACTCAATCCACTTGGAGAAATGCTCCACCATCACCAACACATACCGATGATGTCGTACAGTCAAAGTTAGTGGTCCAGCAAAGTCCAAACTCCAACGGTAACCCAACCCCATGATGGGTAATGGATGTAACACTGGTGTCGGGGCATTGAATGATGCCCTCACTCGATCACAAACCATGCAACGTGATACCAACTGCTGTACCTGAGTATGCATACCACGCCACCAATACTGACCAAGGAGTAAGTTGTATGTACGCTTCACTCCAAAATATCCCAACTCCTCATGAGCATGCCTCACAATGCGTGCTCTTTGGGCTAGATGTGGTACTACTCGTACCCTACCGTCCTCCCATACTCGGAGAACATGTGATCCCTCCAATTGGTACCTCTTAGCCCGTTGGAGAACACGATCTCGGTCCTTGGCACCCACTGTGCCTGGCACCATGCTAGTCCGTAGGAACTCCAACACCAATGCATCATCGTGTACATCACGCTGATCCACACCACCATCCTCAACCTCAGGATCTGGAGATCGACCATCTACTCTCTGACTAGAGTAAGATGTCAGATGATCCTCTCTGCTAGAGTTCCCACGTAACTAACACATGAAGGCAGATGCATGCCAACCAGGCACCATCTCCTCGTCAACCTCACCATGCCATCTAGCTCCAGTGTCATCCTCCTGGCTAGTGCATGGGTTTCGACTCAAACCATCGGCATCTAGGTTCGCAACTCCAGGTCTATGCACCACCTGAAAGTCGTACTCCTGTAAGATGAGAGCCCACCGTGCAAGCTTTCCTGTAAGCTTGTCGGACTCCATCAACCACTTGAGCGGTTGATGATCAGTAACAAGGGTGAACTGCGTACCAAGCAAGTAACACCTGAAGTGCGCCACAGCCCACACCGCTGCCAAGCACTCTCCCTCGTACGAACTATACCGCGACTCCACTGCATTGTTTGAACGACTAGCGTACGCAACCACAAACTCCTTGCCCTCATCATCACGCCGCGTCAACACCGCTCCAAGTCCCAACATACTCCAATCAGTGTGCAATTGGTATGGACGACCTCTGATAGTTCTCCTCAAGATGGGAGCGGCCACCAACCTGGCCTTGAGCTCAACAAAAGCTCTCTCCTGCTCATCTCCCCATTGCCACTCCTGATCTGACTTCAGCAACTGGTTCAAAGGCTTGGCTATAGCACTGAACCCCTTCACATACCTCCGGTAGTAGTTCGCTAAACCCATAAATGCACGAACTCTACTCACATCCGTGGGACAAGCGATGCATGCAATAGCCTCCACCTTTGCTTGCTGAACTCCTAAACCACCTGGGTATATCACATGATCCAAGTACTCAACCTTCTCCTGGAAGAACTTACACTTCCCAGGATGTAACCTCAAACCATGAGCCCTCAATCGCTCAAACACAATCTGCAAGTGTATCTGGTGTTGCTCCACAGTGTCACTAAACACCAAGATATCATCAATGTAACATCTGACAAAATCCAGCCCCGCCAGGATTCTGTCCATAACCCTCTGAAACTCGGCAGGTGCATTCTTCAACCCAAAGGGTAAGAATCGCCACTGATACAAACAATCCTTGCCGTGGGAGTTGACGCCCCAAAACGCTGTCTTGGTTTTGTCCTCCTCCCGAATTGGCAACTGATGGTATCCTGCCCGAAGATCCAAAGTACTAAAAATCCTCGCATGTCCCACCACATCGAAGATCTCCTCAGGTGTAGGCATGGCATACTTATTGGACTTCGTCTGCCGATTGATAGGACGGTAGTCTCCACACATGCGCCTATCCGTGTAGTTGCCATGTACATCCTTCTTCACCGGCATGACAGTGGCTGACGCATACTCACCATGCGATAGCTCCACTAGTCCAGCCTCCAGTAGGTCCAACGTCCTACTCCGAATCAAATCTCTCTCCATCTCACTGTATCGATAAGGACGACGGAAAATTGGCGTATCACTAGCCAATTCTATCCGTACACCGGGTCCAATCAACGCACCCAACTCCTTCATACTGAAAGCAAAACAACTATTATAGTCTCGTAGGAATTGAGGAATCGTCGCCTCTCTCCTCCTGTGATCTGGGAACTAATCAATGGCTCCCATTCCTCCTCCATAGGCACACTAGAGGGAGGCGACACTGTCAATGGTTGCTACGCTACACACTGCAAAGAAGGGTTCTCCGTACCATCCTTC